TCACTACGTCCCTGACAATGGACAGTTTCGAAAAAGGCCAAATTCAATAGCGGTGTTTAGACCCCAGGAGCCTGGGACTCAGGAACTGTAGGTAGTTTAGAGGCCTGTATCTCCGAAATTATTGCACTAAATCAAAAAAATCTTTTAAACTCATTACTAACTTTTTACGCTCTTTTCAAATTTATAAAGGTCCCACAAGTGATATAGGCACTTTAATAGTAATTAATTAAATATATACATCATATAGAGCTCGTTTTCGGCTTTGCCATGAGTGATCGATGTCCGCCTCCTCATTTCCTGCCAATTGTTTCTTGTCATTTTGATTGTAGGTTGATGCAATATACTGTAGGTCAATAGGGTCAATAATAAATACTTGCAAGCAAGAAAGTCAATGGCAAACGGAGAATTTACGCAATAGGTAAGAGGTCGGGATAATGATTTTATTTCTGTCTTTCACGTTTCCCCCCGTTGCCCTCTATAAAAAGTATTGGGTATTATTCGGTTGTTTGACACCAAGATGCCTATACTATAGTGACTGAAACCAACCTTTAGAATAGTCTCCAAAGTTACCAGCAAGAATTCGTCAGCTAGCGAGATCTCGGTTTTTGCGTCGGCATACTTTTCCAGCCTGCTGAGGAAATTATCGCAGCAGGAATTTAATGTTGGAAACCCATCGAACAGCTTGTTTCGATGGAACAACGGTGTAAACGTACGTCGCTTCGTCTCCCAAGTGAGACGATTCAAGTCCGAGAAAAGGCCACTTCCAAGGAATCGTTGTCCGTAGACATATTGAAATCTCTTATAACCAAAATGATCCTTAGGTAGATTCTTAACGACAAGCACCTGACGAGCAATATCGGCGTCGCTGATGACGATTAGAGGGACATGAAAGAACCATATGACAAACATAGGGCGATATTCAATCGACCAGTCGGCCAATGTTTGATGTATATTGTTGCCATCAACAAGCCTTCTCCTGCGAATCTCGAGCAAATTACCCAAGAAAAAGTTGCCTCGAGGCGGGCCTTCAATATGGCTAAGCTTGTAGTGCATGTAGTAAACATACAGTGAAAAGACAAGGAAAAGCACAATAAGACAGAAGAGCACCAGTTTTATTACGAAACCAAGCATAATCCAAAGATCAGCCATTTCAAAAATGTAGCGGAATATTCGTAATAGTTAACCTTCCAGTGCTTTGTAATATGATGCAATGTTGTGGCTGCGAATAAAAACAAATATATACTATACACAAATGAGATTCAAAAGATTACACACGGATATGATACTTCTGTAGCCATAGTAACATTGGTATGTTGCGTGCATGTTGTCACTCTTAAGGCTGATTTCTATGGCGTCAGATTTCCGCCAATATTCATGTTGATATTAATTCAACATGTTTCCGTTTTGAAGTGAATTTCGACATTGAACATATCAAATTCAGCATGCTACTTTAATTTGATATTCCTTCAATTTCAACATGTTTCCCTCATTGATGTTAATTTCAATATTGAACATGTCAAATTTAAGTGATATACAACATTGAAGTTTAGATATTGAAGTAATTTTCAATGTTGAAGTTTCAAAACATGTTGAAAACGCATCACTACATGAATTTGGGAAGTGAATATTGGCGGTTATATAGCACCGCGTTAAATATCCGCCAATATTAATTAACGCGTCGTTAAACTTCCCCCCCGGCATTCTTCTAGGACTTGATTCCAATATGGCGGCGGCTACGAGCGAGCGAAACGATGAAATAGTTGGTGCACTGAACATTATTGAGGACATAATATCGCGATTAGACAGCCTTGGTGACACAGATTGTGTAGAGGGAATGGCAATACGATTCGACGTTCTTAAGAGATTTCTTGTAAATATCAGAATCGACGACATCACTTTGGAAATGGTGGACAGGGTTTGCCAAAATTTAAATCAATTTGTGCAGCGGGAGCTCTATTCTGCCATGAATAACTCTGCATTTCCAGAAAAAGTTTACACAGGATGCCGTGGAAAACCTTCGTATGATATACACGAGGGGCAATTGAACTTTTGGTTGGAACAAGGTTTCAAAGTTAGCGAAGTAAGCAGTATGATGGGTGTAAGCAAGAGGACTTTGGAGCGGCGAATGAGGTCATTTGGCACGAGTGTGTCAGGTAAGAAAGTTATTTCCAGCCTAAAGTGGTTATCCAACACCGTATATGTTAAGACCAAGTCGACAAACCTACGGAAAGTGATGTAATGCAATCCTCCTAACCTCCTTCAGGCAGAACAGGCTCCTTGTCACTTGTCAGACCTTGTGTGGGGGATTGGTGTTGTTGAAAAAATCTAGACACAGGCATCTGAATTGGTAAAAAAATCAGATTATTTGCCCAACCTGAAACGGAAACAGGTCCACAAATTTCAGTTTTCAATAAAATTCCAGTTTTCATGAATTAATTTATGTCTGCTCGCCATATTGCAATGCGACACTAACTTTTTTGTTCAACTGTAAAAAGTGAAGTGCAGATGAAAGATGTGAATAGGTATCCTGTTCTCATTCTACTGTGGTTCTGTATAAAACTATGTGCACTCAATCAAATTAAATCCTGGTGATAAGATGCTGGTTATTTTTTAGCTACTTATAGTGATGTCACTGATGACCATCTTGATCAACTTGTTCGAGAAGCTCAAAATTTAAATCCCAACACCGGTATCAGGTTAACCAAAGGTTTCCTTGCTGCCAATGGACATCGAGTGCAACTGCATAGGATAAGAGAGTCATTAGTACGGACTGACCCTGTTGGGATAATTGCACGTCAGTCACGAACTGTAATTAGAAGAAAATACCAAGTCCATGGGCCATTAAGTTTATGGCATATTGATGGAAACCATAAACTTATAAGGTAAGACCACAAGAGTTTAACTAATCAAAATGTTTAGTTGCTTCAATAGGTTATCATTGGATTATCTGCCAAGACCATTGATAACACCCAATTGATGATGTAAAAGACTCGCCCATTGATCGGATTAAAGTGTTGTGTGTTAGAAAGTAAGAAATAATAAAATGAGCTGTATGGCTATATATCTGAGAACTAACTAGGCAAATTGCAAAGGAGATGGAGTTCAAGGCTTTCTTAGAGCACCTCCGGCAAATACCTTTTTAATTTTTTTACTCCCAGATGCACCCCACATTATTTTACTCTGTCTCATGCCAGATGATTTTACTCATCAGGGGGGAAATGCTGCCACTCAATGGGTTAATAGCAATTTATATTTTTAATTTTTTGAATATATTTTATATTTATTTTAAAGTTTTCGCCCATACCTACAAATATATATAATAATATAAGTGTTTTTTTATTTTATTTTTTTGAATGTGCAATAGGATATTAAGTTTTTTAAGTCCGTATTTAACTCATTCCAAATATTTACACCCTTATTGTGAAGTGAATGTTTGACAAAATTAGTTCTTGAGTATGATTTATGAAGTTTGGATACATTTCTTGTATTGTGTTCATGTATTTTGTTGTTAGTAACATAGTAACTGGTAAAGTATTTTGATAAAGTAAATTACACTGTGTATACCATAGGCGTATCGGCCAGATCCCCCCCTCCCCCAATTTTTACTGTCTGGCAATTGAGCAGAAATCCATGTGTCATTTGGGCAAAACATATAACTCTCATCAAAGTTGATAAGAAGAACCACGGTCTACAATGAATAATTAAATCTAATAACGCCAATATTAATTGCTTTTAATATACTTTGCCATATATGAAGGACACCTGTATATGAATGATGATGGCTTATGGCAAAGATTATGAAGATTGCAGAAACTGAGCATTGTTCTTAGGTTTTGTCTCAGTTTTTTGTCTAGACATTTCACTTAAATGTCTGCTAAAGCAGCCTTAACACAATCATACGTACTCATTTGTTTTAAAAGCACAATCCAGGCCCTTTTTTAACATACAAGCTAAATACCCCCTCGACTCCCCCTTTGCCCCCCCCCCACAAAACCACCCTCGCACATTTAGATGCTCAGAATGCAGAAAAATTGCTTCAAATTTCAAAAATTTTATGCGGGAGTATGCCCCCAGACCCCCTAAGGGATTCATGTGTGGTATAGCAGCCACATAGCTATCCCCCGCTAATATAGTATCTCACTGAAAGATCCCTTGTCAAAAAAATCCCTCCCCCCAAGGGGAAAATCCTTAAAAAAGGCCCTGATAAAATCTCGAACAAAGTTTTATTTGTGTACTGTCTAAGCAAAGATTAGGCCTGTACGCCCATGGTACTGTATATACTGTATTTTTTGCATAATATGTAGCTTTAATAATTGATACAAAGTAAGGATATTATGTTCTCATCATTTCTAATCTACTTTACTTATGTAGGTGGAGGATTGTAATTCATGGAGGCATTGATGGCTTTTCCAGGATACCTGTTTACCTAGTTGCTTCAAATAATAACAAAGCCGACACTGTTTTAACAGCATTTAATAAAGCAATTGAAACTTATGGTTTGCCATCACGTGTACGAGCAGACAAGGGAGGAGAAAATGTCCAAGTTGCATGGTACATGTTAAACCATCCACAACGAGGGCCTGGAAGAGGAAGCTTTATAACAGGTTCTTACCTACAACGTATTGTAATATATCCATGATTATAAACAACCAACTGAACAACTGCAGTACAATTTTTTATCACCTTTTCCTTTTGGCTTAACATTATTGAGCGAAGTGAGGGCATCCCACAAAAATACTGTTTGTATTACTAAGCTTAATGTTTGTCTATTTGTAATATAGGAAAAAGTGTTCACAACCAAAGAATTGAGAGGCTTTGGCGAGATCTCTTCCAGGGATGCACTTGTATATTCTACGACCTGTTCTATGAAATGGAAAGACTTGGCATCCTTGATCCAAGTAATGAGGTTCATCTTTGGTGTCTCCATTTGGTGTTACTTCCAATCATAAACAAGCACATTGTCTGTTGGCAAAATGGATGGATTCATCACCCAATTCGCACTGAGCGGAATAAAACACCAATGCAATTATGGATTCAAGGTCTTAATGCTATTTCTGCAACGGGATCCACTATTGCAAATGAAGTTTTCCAGGTAAGAATCACATTCAAACTTAATTATGCAGCATTATATCTTCAAGTCAGGTATTGCCTATTGGATCAAATAAATCTAGAAGGGAATTCCACCAGCAGGTAACATAATGTAGAATAACTGCATAAGCTTCATTAATTTAGTCTGGTGAAGAAACAAAAGTTTAAAATACAATTAGTTAATAATTGTTTTTGAGAAAATTGTTAGTGAACAAAACACATCGCCAATACACAAAAGATCCAAAATGTTAAGTAAAACTGTAAGGATTTACTAGCAAAAATATGCCTACTCACTGTCTACTTTCTAGGGAGGTGAGGATTATGATAATTATGGCATTGATTGGGATCAGGCTGCTGGAGAAGTAGAACCAGATCTTGTTGAAGTGCCAGAGACCACAACTGTATTAAGTGAAGCACAAGTTGAAGAAATAAGAGGATTAATACCAGAAAATGTCACAATTAACAATGCAATTGATATTTTTACTAACATTCTGAATAGAACATTGGAATATGTCAACTTGTGACTGTTAATGTGCAATCATGATCTTTGCAATAGTGTATTTACGAAAATGGTAATTTAGGACATGGATATTAAAAAAAAAAGTTTGCTAAGAGTACACTGGGATCAATTTATTACATTGATATGTACATGCAGGGTGTATAAATTAACATATTGGCCATTGTTGGAATAAATGCCTTAGCACTATGCTGAACACTCGGGTGGGTAAAACAGAATAGAAGTTAATTTTATGCATGCCGAATTTATTATGACTAAATTTAATTTAAACTATCATTATATTAAGTACAGTCATATTGTGAATAAACAAAACTAAAATATGAAGGTTTAGTCTTTAGAACGTTTTGCGATCTTTGCATAAGGTCCTACTATAGCAAGGACGTTTATGAAACTAAGCATTAAAGACATTTGAATACAAGTGATTTTCATTCAAAATCGTAAGTAGAAAATAGGGTGTTTAAGCTTCACGTTTCCGGGAACGTTAAACGGCAGGTTCGAAATTTCTTCGCCAGATATTCGGTAACCGTTTTCGTTTCATATTTCCTTTTTTTGTGTCGAAAGAATAGTCATGCATTGCAATTTTAAAACAGCAAGTTCATTTACTCTTTTTTGCATGATACCGTAAAATGTTTCTATGCCAGGCGCTTGCCGTATAACGCAAAGCTTAAACTCTCTATCGCATAGTACATACGAACAGTGGGTGCAAGTGTAATTAGCGACAATAACAGGCAACAGTATCTGTAGGTGATACAACAACACCACCGAAAAAGAACTTCGACGTTTCGAGCGAGAACGAAGGGCATTCAACTTCGTTTAGTACACGACCTCTTTGCATGACGTTTTCAAAATCTATTGTTTTTAAGCAATCAGGAATGGTGTAGGCCCATTGATCCATGATTGAGTGCTATATCCATATATTTTTTAAAATCTTCGTATGACTTGTGTACCGTTGGCAGTACCATAGACATGAAACATGTCTCAGCAAATGGAAACAGGTTCTGGCCGTCGTCAAACTTCACCAGCAAGTCACTCTTTCGCGGGGGCAAGTTATTCGTTGCGGTCCAGAAGCAGCACAGGTCTGTGATTGAAGGTTTCCCTAGCAATTAAAAATTGGTAATGCTATCTCATAGAAATTCATGGAAAACCTGAAAGTGATGCCAACACTGGAACTACCCCATTTTTGCTATTTGTTGGGAGGCGTTCCATCCTGATCATGCAGGAAATGTCTATTCCTAACTTCCAAAATTTAACATACGCAGGACTCTTGTTAAATCTGACAATAAAACAATTGAGCCTAATCTTACCAGTGGTTTCTAAACGCGTATATTTGTTTTCGCTATTACAAATCAATCTTCAACAGTTTTTCACCATACCTGTTTCATATTTTTCCAAGTCGCAAAGATACTGGTAAAACAGCATTATCGTGTCTTCATGTCCCACACTTTCTTCAAAAGTTACAGCATCCTTAACGTGTTCTGCTGCAATGCGTCTCTTTCCACTGATTGGAAAAATTACTTCTAGAGTCTCGGGAAGACATTCGCCAATGAATGCGTGTAACTTTACTTCATTCATGCCTAAAATTAAAAAGTACATAAATCCATAATACAGTACAATAAACAATTATTGAATGAGGTCGATTAGGATATGAGGAATTATTAAGACAGATGTTTGTGTTATCTGCGAGAATGCTCAACAGCAGTCACAACGCTTCACAGCATGCAGTCAGGTTTAGCTGCAGAACTATTTGAAGAAACCTCGAGACAGGACGTCTACGTGTTTGGGTTTACAAAAATACTTTACCTCTCGCTATGTCGTCTAGTTCTCTTTTTCTTTTATGGATCACGTTATAAATAACAAGCCCTTGGATAATTAAATTCCTGTTGCGATACAACATGTCGATATCAAGCCCTGACTCGAAAATATACGGAGCTAACGCATCCTTAAGCTCGACAGGAGTGACTTCGTCCAACGGAAGGTTTTCTAGCTAAAAGAAAAATAAAGTACAGTACTTAAGTCTTAACAATTACAGTAGCATTACCATTACTCAATACATTTATCAATTGCTTCCCAAAAGTTCTTGCCAATAGTCAATACATTTACTCAATAGACAATTGATTTATCAATTCCTTCTCAAATTCTTCCAATAATTTAAATACTATTTAAAGTACGCATAGGAGTGTTTTATCAGATATAAAACGCGAGGCGCTGCCGAGCGTTTTATATCTGATAAAACACGACTACAAGTGCTTTAAATGGCTTAAAAAACGACTCGTCTTATATGAGTTCATTGGCGAAGTAATTTTTAAAATAAACTTTGTCTAAACCGAGAAAATCAAAGCTAAAGTTTATGTAAATTAACATGATTTTTTATCACATATAAAGATACGACACTGATTTGTCAGGTACATAAAAACATGCTTACTGTATACTCAATTCAATTATGTAATATAACACAATTTAAAATTTACCTCATTTATATAGCCTCTTAAGTCAATATCTGGAATGTCGTGCATACTTAATGGAAGACTTTCGAGCGAACTGTCATCGTCAATACCATTGGCGGTTACTCGCCAATACTGTACCACTGCTGGAGACAAGCCATATATGACTGGGCCTTCGTGTAAAATAGAGTGTCCGATGATTCGGCCGATAGCTCTAAAAGCACCAGTACATCTCAATGCTTGGTCATGGATTGGTACGTTGTGATCCTCTTCTCCTTCAAAAAATAGAAGCGGCTTCCCACCTTTTTCAACGCCATCCTCCACAATTTTCATTGCACAAAGCAAAAATTCTCGTACGGGTCCACTTCCTACTCCTTCTTCGCCTTCAAATTTCACACGAAGTTTCGCTCTAAGCTTTACCTGCGGGCTTTTATAACAGCCTAAGATATCTTTCTTAAGCTCGTCTAAACCGTCTTCTCTAGAAACTGTGAATCTTTGCCTAGATAGGGATTCATCTACGTTGTCTCGTCTGAAATCTTCCAACGTTAGTGTTCTGTTCGTTTCGTCGCTGTTATCCATCTGGTCGTTACCGCTGAGCTTTTCCATAATTAAACTGGTAGACGTGCTTATTTCCAGATCATCAGCATTCTCATCATCTTGCAAAGCTATAAAATATGATAGATAGTGACGAATGTAACTTTTTAAAATCGGACTATGAGTGCTGGACTGGATTTTAAGTCCGCGCAAACCAGGGTGTTAGCTAGCCCATATACTGTCCGTTTGACAGACTCTTCCCAATTGAAGTAGCTACTGTAAGGAGCTTTCCCAACTGGGTCTATTTTCATTTTTTTCTGATGAGAAAGTGCATTGCGTTTGATTTTAGATTATTATATGAAAGAACGTTTTGTTTACTTTTTCCCATTAACTATTTTCTCAAAATGTATCGCGTTTCACTCATATTGGGTGTGTATTCACTGAAATGAAATGTACAAAACAAAGTGTAATCGGTGTGCATCCGTGTTCATTCACTGGAAATGAAATATACAAAACGAAGTACCATCGGGTGCATTTTTCAGTGTTCATTCACCGGAAATGAAATGTACAAAACCAAGCTACCGTTGGTTTGCATCTAAGGAGAAACACGTTCCTACACAAGGACTGTGATCGGTCAAAAAAACTTTCCCAATTTACGTTTAACGGACAAAAATTTTTTCTCTGGCTAACACCTTGCAAACTACTAATTTACTCATGAATTATTATAGCTTTATCTACTATTTAAAACACGAGTAGCGGAGTAGGAGTGTTTTATCTGATATCTCTCTTGTTCGCTTCGCTCACTCTTGAGATATGTTCAAAACGAGAAATAAATTTGGTATTTCCGGCACCCATGTATTATTCTCTATATATAATTGCAACTGACCTAATAACTGTTCTGCTGCCTCATCAGCATTTCCACAAGCATTTGACAATGCCGAGTCAATCTCATCATGACTTGCAGTGGGAACTAAATTATGCAGTGCATCCTTAATTTCATAGGATCTAAAACATTAAAGAAACAATACATGCATACAAATCGTACTGTACTTATGGAATAATGGTACAGTTCCTATAGTTTTACTAACTGATATACTTTATATTCTTCAAAATTCTTCAAAATATCACCCCAGAATTAAATGCTTGAAATCGTGTTTCAGGGATATCAAAATTTTCCCAGGGGAAATTAAATTACTGACTTTGGGAAAAGTGAAAATTTGACAATTTTTGATGTGTTGCTTAGAGCCAACACTATTAAGGGTTTTTGTGTGAAAATGAAATAGTAATGGCCATAGACCAATTGCGAAACTTAGTGACCGCGCCTTAAACTGCACGAAAACGAGGTTTATTATGCAAAAACAAATCATTCTGCTATATTTTTATATGGCGAAAAATGAATTTCAGTGTTTGAGATGGGGTTTTATGGTAATCTCTTCGTTTTTTTTCTCAATATTTCTGTTTTGACTATGTAAATCTTTATTAAACTTGTTCATAGATTTAGTCTTACTTCAAATTTCATTGTTTTTCGCGGCGTGCGAGGCAATGTTTTGCTGTTTTTCGCCATCCGATAAAAGAGAAAAGAGAAAGAATCAGGTATTTTCCGTCTGTTTTATTAATACATTTCAAAGAATAAGTTGTAACCAGGGCCGCCGAGAGGTTGGCGGGGGCCCGGGGCAAATGTTTTTTTTAGGGGCCCCTATCCAAAAAATTTTTCCCGAAAAAATTTTTTTCCTCCCCCCCCCCACGTCTCGAAAAAATTTTCGGTCAGTGTACCATTTTAGGGGTAAAGTTATACTGGCTATTTTATTTGCATCTTGATCAGATTTTAAAGTCTAGATTGATCTTTTCCATATGTTTGTTCCATCGCATGCTAAAACAACAACGAAATATCTCTCCAAAGCGGGTAAAAATATAGTGGGAAATCGATGTTCAGATAAATTTAACAAATATTTATATAACCTAGCACGAAATATTAAGAAAAGATCAAAGAGATTAAAGAAAAAACACTTTAAAAACCCTAAAATTCACTTTTCGCTATATAAAAATATAGAAATTGTTTTGTTTTTGCATAATAAGCCTCGTTCTCGTGCAGTATGAAGGCGCGGCCACTAAGTTTCGCAATTGGTCTATTAATAATCTCTTTTAATGTAATGGATTAGTCAACAGTTATACTTAATGAATATACTGATACATATGGGGTTGGAGTGTACATGCCAAACCCTTCCACGGTAGTCATGGACTCATGGGCTACCAGTGCCTACCACTGCACCTCCACTAATTTGTTCCCAACCCATCACCACCACAGTTTCCACCAAAATCCAGTCTTGTTTTTTAGCACTTTGTGAATGGAAACACCTTGATTAGGAAGTGTTAAAAGAACTATGTCATACCTAGAACATTCTCCACCATCACCCTTTTGTAGCATATTATAAATACAAGGTTCTGCCCTTTTCTTCTTGTGCTGTTAAAATACATAATACATAGGAATATTAATTTGTAATATTTTATTTGCCCCCTCCCTCTGGGCAGCCCTGCTTCTTATGCGCAAAGATCAAAATCCAAAAGAAAATGAAGTACGGTATATACCTTGGGTTGACCATCATGAATTGATTGGTGATGATCATCTATTAGATTCATAGGAACCATAGTCTCGCATACAACGCAGGAAATCAGTGGTCCAACATCATCCTAAAATGCACAAAATACTAGATTGCCTAGATGAAGACACTAGACTGTAGTGCCGAAACATTGGGTCGTAGATGTATTTCGACTGGGCTTTGCAAGCCAAAGCATAACTGACACATCTTAGTTGGTAAACCTGAAAAGGTTAATAAAAATGCATAAATTAATGCTATTATTAATTAACCACAAAATTCCACACTGTACCTCTATATCTTCATTGTCATTGCTGTCTAACAGGTCTTTCTGCAATGGCTTGATGTATATTTTGCATTGTCCTGCAACTTCTTTTAATTTTTTTGGCAGATATGGGGGTTTTAAATGGCAAAACGATGAGTTTTCACCAGAACGGTCGAACAAGAACAACTCGTAGCCTGCAGAAAATAGCTTTGGAAATGCTTCCAGTAACTTTTCATGTAAATGTGAACTGTTTCCATCAACATGAAATGTCACAGTTCCATCCCCAAGACCCGCATTTGCCAACATGGTTCTTTCTTTAATTGTTGTTGGAGGCTTGACCGCACTACGACTTGCTAAGCAAACAAACTTGAGCGAACAAGTCTGAACTTTTTGTTTTGCAAATGATTTGCCCTTTTTTGGTTGCTTCCCTCTCGCAGCATAGCCAAAAAGCTTCCTGTGCTCATTCACCTGTGCGTTTCCCACAGCAGTTGATGAAGAAATTCTTGGCGGATTGTTTGCATCTGGTTGGACAGTAGTCAACTGTGATACTCCAGGCTGTGTTTGGTGACTTTGGTTATGTCTGCTTGCATTCTCTACTTGATTTGCTAAACAAATTTTGAAATAAAAATAGTAAGTATAAAATACATGCAAACCCTCGCCTTGCTGACAAAACCATTGTATCGGGGGACAACTTCAATTTGCCTGATTTTGGTATAAACATATGCATGAATGACAATGACATAGTGCACAGATTTCCTTAATACACCCCTCAGACATGGCATGAAGCCAAGAACTAAAACCCCAATAATTGTCAACCCTATGTGCTCTGAATTTGCTATTTTATGGCAAGAAAACTGTGAAATGAAACCCCATATCGCTATATTATGTAAATCTAAGGTAGTTGTTTATACACTTATTAATATTAATCGATATCAGTAAACATATACGGCATGTCATGAATATTTGCATATTTAATTTCGAAATATTCTCATTTTAATACTATAGAAATATAACCTCACCTGTTGCTTGTTGCCTCAGCCGTTCCGCGACCTGTAAAAGAGCACTTCTAGCCGAATTTATTTCATCTGTATTCATGCTTTATAGTGTAAATAATCAATGTTAAGAAGTTCTATGATTTTAATACATGTGCTCAGAAGCGATGAAGCAAATTATGCAAACGACGGAAACGAGCGTAAAAGAAAGCCAAGAATGCCTGGGCTCTAGTGGCGAATGCCGGGGGGGGAGTTTAACGACGCGTTAATTAATATTGGCGGATATTTAACGCGGTGCTATATAACCGCCAATATTCACTTCCCAAATTCATGTAGTGATGCGTTTTCAACATGTTTTGAAACTTCAACATTGAAAATTACTTCAATATCTATACTTCAATGTTGTATTTCACTTAAATTTGACACGTTCAATATTCAAATTAACATCAATGAGGGAAACATGTTGAAATTGAAGAAATATCAAATTAAAATAGCATGCTGAATTTGATATGTTCAATGTCGAAATTCACTTCAAAACGGAAACATGTTGAATTAATATCAACATGAATATTGGCGGAAATCTGACGCCATACTTCAGTGCCCAAAATAAAATTAAAACGCTGAGTAGTACCGTCTAATCATAAAGGAAGTAATACCCGCTAATCTGCATAAACACGTATACTGATAGCGACTAGCTGCTATGAATTCAAATTGACAACAGCATATGCATCTTAATATGTAAAATAGAGTGTAAACTACGTATTCAATATATTTAGGGTGTCCCAAAAAATCCAAAACTATTGAAATAACATATTGTTAGACTTTGAATGTCCCAACACTAAGCTTAACGCAAAGATGCGTAAAACATTGACAATGAAGGTGCATATTGGAAAATATCCAACCGAGGACTTGCTGCATGTATTGACCGAGCGATAGCGAAGTCAACAAAGAGGTTAAGATACCCCGGTTACGTTTTACGGGAACGAGTATCGCCATTTTGTTTACCAATTTTTGCTGATGTCAACATTTTTACCCCTAATTTCTACCCGTTTCCCCGCGGTAAACCATGGTCTACACGTAAAAGACAAACGGGTACGGGTGTTTTCTGTTTACTATTTGAGGGCCGTTAAATTTTTACCATCTTACCCAAATAAATAATGCACTTATGCTGTCAAAGTTTTCAACAATCTATGGCGAACCTCAACAGCGAAAGTTGCCATTCTCTGATAGATTTGCTCACGCCGGAATATCTTGGATTTCTTATGTTACAAGTCGTTCCCCCGGTTTACGGGTACGGGTACGTGCATATCACCCGTATACCCGTAATAACACCGGAACCGGGGTATCTTAACCTCTCTAATACAGCAAGAACGAGGTCAGATATTTTCCCGTACTACCCGAACGGTTGAGGTCAGTAAGTTTTTTTTATTTGGCATTGTACGATTGTAAAAAATAGGAGAAGTACAAAGTAAGCAAATATGAAAACAATACAATTAATAAACAGCCTCGACAAGTACGTTTTTAGTTCGCTCCCGTTCGTCTCTTTTGATCTAACAAAAACAGAAATTTTCAAGGAAAATTTATAACTCTGTGGCTGCTTTAGTTGTAATTTTTAATTATAGATGGTGTCAGATTCCTCCTGCCCATCTGCAAATAAAATTTTCAGCTGTTCACATAGTCAAAACACAACTATTCTTGACTACTTTAATAGCTAAACACATTGTAAAATTTACTTTGTAAATTCAACTTTCGCTAACAAAACCATGTCGAGAACGCGCTTTAACCAGAGCAGTTGTTGCTTTTTACTATTTAGGTCTATTTTCCTTCGTTTTAAATAGTTTGAAAGACTTTTAGACACTTTTTGCCGTTTGAAACTCGGTTCTCGTCGCAGCTTCGTAGGGCCATAGAAATTGCGTATTGCCCGTGGGAAATATGGGAAAATCCTGCCTCGTCAGTAGCCAATCAAATTGCACGATTGATCAAAACAAATGCTTGCCATATAATAAATTGTAAATATTGACTTATTAAGAAATTAAAATTATCCTTCTCAAGCGCACGATCAGTTTCAGTTAAAGCAGCCTCTTATTCATACATGAATAAGGATTAGAATTACAGAAGAATTTATACAGCATTGAATGTGATATTTTCAGTGTGTTTGATCTTAAGTCTTAACCCATTTATATAAAAACTTGCATCCCTACTGTTGCTGTCTGTACTTTGCCTAATGCCAGAAAATTTCACTCTTCAAGGGGAGAGTCTTGCAAGCTCTTTAATGGGTTAATGAGCTTCACTTGTGTAACATGCTTGTAAAATGCTTGTGATGTTACTCTGAGTGTATATCCACACCGGGCAAGCTTGAAAAATATGCCTGACCACGGTGGGAATCGAACCTACGACCTTTGGAATGCTAGCCCAATGCTCTGCCAACTGAGCTACGCGGTCTGGTCGGTTCGAGTATGTGATATTTCGGAACAGAATCTAGTTCCTTCGATATCAATGTTATCTAATAATAATCATGATTTTTCTGTGTTGGTGTAATGTACTCAGGTGAATATGATGCTTGTGATGTTACTCTGAGTGCATATCCACACCGGGCAGGCTTGAAAAATATGCCTGGCCACGGTGGGAATCGAACCTATCAATGCCAAACAATTGTACATGTCCAGGATCCTTGTGTATTAACCCATTAAGTGGCAGCACTCTTCCCCTGAGTTCCTCAACTCTTTGAGTATAATCTTCTGGCGTTAGACTGAGTAAAATAATAAAGTAGGGGGCATGCATCTCGGTGCTTTGCCACTTAAAGGGTCAATGTAACGTTACTGCACAACAGCAATATACTAACTGTATAATTGAGTTAAAATTATTGAGGAAAAAACAGTCAGTAGAATAACATAGTGCCCAAGATATTCCCTTTTAAACTGAAATTGTCACATGCCAGATCATAAATTAACTGACATAATCTACATGATGCTTGTGATGTTACTGGCAAGGTTGAAAAATTTGCCTGGCCACGGTGGCGATCGAAACTACGTAGGTTCGTTCCCCAACATGGCCAGGCAAATATTTCAAGCTTGCCCGGTGTGGATATACACTCAGAGTAACATCACAAGCATTTTAAGGCCTGCTCTGGGACCTTAACTCGCCGCGAGATAAGGCGAGCCTATGCGAGTTAAGGCGAGATAGGGCGAGTTAAGGAAAAATCTGGCTACTGACCCTTGCGAGTTAAGGCGGGATAAGGCGAGTTAAGGAAAAATCTGGATACTGTTGTATACACACTATGTATTTTGCTTTGTTTGTGCATTATGCAAAACAAGTATGCAGTACTTGAAGTAGCAGGCCTAGAAAAGTGTTTTATTCTGTATTCTACAGTACATACATGATATGCACAATAACTCGGGACCTGGAAACAAGTTGCATCAAAACGAGGCTGGTAGCCAGATGCCAAATTGTATAATTTGAGGCATTATGCATAGTGTGTATAGAACTGGATTGTTTCCTAAATCTTCACAGTATCAGTTGCTAACTTGCTATGACTAGCTTCACCACATATTTTGTAATTTTTAGCTGTTTTCATGAATCATGACATTATCAATTAGGTTCGAATTTGTTTGCAAGCAGCAGTCCTTGTATTCAATTTTTAATTTAATTTAATATAAACATTGATATGAAACAAAGAGAAACTAAAAAGCTTGCTAGAAAATTATAGATTATTTACTATTAAATTTAGCACTTTAATTTAATAACTATTTTAATTAACGAAATTTCGAACCACAATGGCATATTAAATGATAACCAACGGTCATAATACTAAAACAAGACGCTCTACAGAGCGTAAACTCGCTGGGGCTATACAAGTGAAAACTAAATTTTGTCACCATAGTTGCTCATAATTTGGCAACCGCTACAGAAAAACAGAACAATTTACAGAAAATTACAACAGATTGCAGAAGTGGGAAGGTTCTTGTGTTTTGACTGTAATATAGTGTAAAAGGTAGCCATTACCAGTAAGTTAAATAGTACAGTAGCACTAACATAAAGTTTTGCTGCCACTACCTAGTACAGTTTACAGATATAGACAAGTATAATCAACTCGAATACAGTTTAGAGTGAGACTTTATTGAGGAGAAATAGTACAGAAAGAGCTGACAGTTCAAGTTAGCAATACTTGCAGATACGCATCGAAGTATCATTATGCAATACAAGAATTACAGATTTTTCTACAGTATACATCGCATTAGAACAAAATTCTGAAACAATCACTAGGACTATTTGAAGTTTAAATATTCAATGTGAGTATGAATTATGATTATATAATCACGGACCAAATCTTGCATCTGAACAAAGCAAATTTGGCAAGTTCTTTAATGCATGGAAACCATTTCTGTAAGCTTTTATAATGTTTATTTTTATGAAGTCTCGATAGTTCAATTAGTTCATTGATTTACCAGTACTCGGTCCAGTAGAGATGGCGATGTTCGTTGTAAAGGTACCAATAATGAAGGATAATCAATATACGTTAGTCTTGTCCTCGAATAATTAACAGTCGTATTTCAAGGAACTTGTGAAATCGCAAAAAATCCACTTTAATAGCAATATTAATTGACTGGCGACTGGCGTACAAATTCACGAACAATTCATAGCGTCAATTCCGGCCCGTGATCAGAATAGTGGAGACACCACAATGAAGTTAGTGTACACATATCATCATTCATCATTTCAATTAATAGTCGAACCGATATTTCGTTGTATAAAGTGATGTGTTGAACATTTTTCTACAAAATAAAGAAATGAAGAATTACAGTATATAAGAAAAATAAGGTTCCAGGTCTTACTTGAATATAAAAATACTTAACAGTGTGTCAATATATAGACGTTTTCTATTGGATTTTCTCCAAGAGTTAAATAAGCTCATCGATATAGAGACAGCGTATAGACAAGATCGTTTGTTTGCGTCACCTGCATACTTGCATGCATGCATGCAAGTAAGGTACTATATGTGAACTAGATGACGATTTAATGTTAACCCATTAAGTGACAGCGCGCTTCCCTTGACGAGTAAAATCGTCTGCCATTAGACAGAGTAAGTGGGCCGCATAACCTCTTTAAAGGAGTGAATATAAAGCCCTGTTTACACTACGGATAAAATTGGTACCCGTACCACTTTTTTGGTTCTTGGATTACCTATTTAGGTAGTCCAAGAACCAAAAAGTGGTACGGTACCAAAAATTGAGCGTAGTGTAAACGGGGCTTAGCTAAATAGGTAGTCCAAGAAGCAAAGAAAGTGGTAGGGGTACCAATTTTATCCGTGCCGTACCAAAAATTGAGCGTAGTGTAAACGGGGGCTTAAATCCTTTTACTCATTATACATAATCATAGGAAGACTAACACACCTGTATTCGATCTGAGCTTTCCTCGAGGGTCAATGCTGTTTTTGAATAGCTAGAGGGTTAGTGGCGTACCGTACTATGTGACTACTCACCCTCCAGCTATTCAAAAACAGCAATGACACTCAGATTGAACCTCCACTCTTTGAGTGTGAGTGAGCTCTTAGAATACAGGTGTAAGTATAAATCATAACTACTTTGGGACATACCTTAACATAATTGGTGATAATTTCCCCCAACTGTCTCATTTCAAACTTTCAGTCCTAAAAGAAAACATTTTGAGTGATGAATTTGAGCTTACACTGCAATTGAGATGTAGTGCATGTGTACTATACTAAGTATAGTCAATGTACATGTTGCATCTAGCTTCAATTTAAAAATGATTGAACATACCTTGTTTGCATGGAACTCCAGGAGACTCCTCACGTCAGTCTCTTTGGGGATCTACCAGAATCCCCCATCCCAGTCTCTCCTAGACTGGATTTTCATTTCAGCGATTTTTTAATATTCGATTAGTTTTTCTGCTGCAATTAAATAGTGCGAGTTTAGTGGGTTATATATCGTAACGTTATTGAAACTACTGGCGTAATACTACATGTCAAAATTTTTAATGAAACTATATACTTGTCAAAATCTTACAGTTACCTTAACAGCCTCATGATCTGAATAATACACACTTACAACGCTTGCTTCCATTTTATTGCTTATTGACTGTTTTACGTAAACATGATCGAGAAGACTTCCAGAAGAAACAAATGTTGGTTTACTTACAAGTTGCACATAATTTAAAGACTCGGCGAGTACTTTCAATGAAGATATGTTCTTTTCATTAAAATAATCAATATTAAAATCTCCAAATATAACATCAATATCCAAGCTAGTTGTTATGTAATCTAGGCAAGCTATGAATTGCTGAATATCACATCCGTGCTTACGATAAAGCAGTAGACAGGATAAGCTATATCCACCAGAGTTATTAAGTAAAAATCGTAAACCATTTATTGAAGTGAAATATTCTGTATCACAAAGTGTAATAGTGTCATTGTAACAAACAGCTAGACTTAAGAACTTGTCAGAATTATGATCTTGTTTGTGTATAGAAAAATCGTTAAGGATTGAGTCAATATCATCATTTGGTAGACTGGTTAAAAGTTGAGTTTCCGTTAGAGCCAGCACATCACATTTGGACAAGATTGGGTCATTACATAGGTCAAGACTGTGTTTTTTAAGTGATCTAATATTTAAAAGACAAATTGAGACAGTTTCTGTGTTACATAAATCTGTTGTAATATGCGGGTGGAGACTCGAATTTTCACGCAATCTCTCGTATTCTTCCTGGACTTTAGGATTTGCTCGAATATGTTTACTTTCAAGTGTTCCTAAGATATGCAGGCCATTTAAAGACGTTGCTCGACTAAGTGCTACATATACCTGACCATAGTTAAAGTACCTTTGCTTTTTTAAATCAAAACTGACGACAATGTTATCTAGAGTTAATCCTTGTACTTTATGAACAGTGCATGCCCATGCGAGAGTTACAGGAAATTGTAATCTTTGCATTTCAGGAGATGATGGTTTTCCTGGTCTGACTTTAATTCTCGCTAATATAGGTTTGATAGGAACAAGATTGTTTTCTCTTGCAAAACTACTGGACGAATTTCGTATAGCTGACACTCCAGCATTACTGTCATCAAATTTAACAAAAATTGTGGAGGGTTTATTACTAACATTGTCAACTGAAACTTTTATTACTGTACCTAACTGGCCATTAATTAGTCGATCGCTAATATCCACATTGGTTGTGAGCATAACTCTCGCATTTTCTTTGATCAGGATTTTAGTGTCAAGAG